TACTCTAAATAATACCTTTAAAATAAATTGGCCTGCCGGCTCTCAGGAGCTCACCAGCAGAATCTAACTGTCTGAACCTGCCTGCCCGCCCTCAGGAAGAGGATCGGAAGAAAGACTCTGGATCTGAACGCTGTTAAGTCTGAAGTCAAGCCCTGCCGCTGCTTAGCCCTCTGCCAACTTCAAGCCTCTGGACCCAACTCGGTTCCCTCCCTCAGCTGTCAATCTGAATCACGTCTCAGGTACAAACCTGCACAACTCCTCTGACAAAGATCTTCAGCATCCTGGCTAACCTAACTGTCCTCCTCTACAGAGAACCCTCTGTGACCAGTCCCGGATCTGTTTCTCTGATTCACTCATATAACTTCTGTTTATCTTTAATAAACAGTCAAACTTTTACCCTGCCTCCGTTGTGTTCTGCATGTGGGTTAGACGCCTTGAACCCAACATGACACAACTGGTCTTAAATTCTTTGTTCTGACTTGATAAGGCAAAATGAAAGTAAAGAGTATGGTAAGCTGTCTGAGTATCAAATAGGCTTTGTTTGTTTGGCTTTACTTGTAATTTTATTCTGGATATCTAAACCTTTGTTTTGACTAGAAACTACATTTTTTGGCCATATGCAATGGAAATTTGAAATCTATTCATTTATATTATTATAAAGGAATACTATGAAAAACAAGATATCTTTAATCGTATTTTGACAAATTTAAAATTCATTTAAAGACACCTCAAATTCAGCAGCTGGGATATTGCTCTTATTGACATTGCTCTTACTAGGGACAGAATGGGAAACAAAAATGTTGTCCCCCTCCGACTGGGTGACAAAGTGACCATTGAACCAATGGTGTAGATTAAGCTGCATCATAGCACAATCTTAATGCTTGATGTTTAATAACATCCAATTTTTAAACACTGAATGTACTGTAGATTAATATGTAAGACATCCATAATCCAAAATTGATCTCACTAGAACATATGCAATGTCTGCTTTAACATTTTTCTGCACCCCTTTCTGTTTACCCCGAGACATCTCATCATAGATATATACATAGATATAACTCCATAATATACAAATAATGAAATTCCAAAGTTCTGGTAAGCACTATAAATGATAGTATTTAATTTTGTACAAGAGAAAAAACTGGGCCAACAATGGTTCCTTGCAGTGTATTATTATTATTAGCTGTTTATTCTGTACTAAACTCAGCACCTATCATAATGTGATGTTTTTCTGTGTTAATGAACGTTTCATCCATGTGCTGATTTTACTAGATAAAATATAATTCGTTGCTTCATCACTCAAAAAATCAATGCTTCATGCAGACCAGTGTCCTATAATAAGTCTTGTCAAATTACAAAGAACTGAATGATTAACATGGAAATGGATGGTTCGGGCACGACAATAGATTATCATAAGAATTAAGTAAAGTCTACCCCAAATTAAGTCTGTTGAATTGTGTATAAAATGTCCAAAAAAACGAGGCAGCAAGTTTGCATATCTTTTATTTCATTTAACAGTGTGGGATGAAGCCAATTTTATATTAAAATAGTATGCCATATCGGTGCCTCGCTAGGTATGGAAGCCCGTTTCCGCCACTCTGTAAAAAAAAAAAAAATCTCATTATATTGAGTTAGTATCTAATTATATTGAGTTACTATCTCATTATATTGAGTTTCTATCTCATTATATTGAGTTAGTATCTCATTATAATGAGATAGTATCTCATTATAATGAGATAGTATCTCAATATATTCAGATACTGTAGTATCTCAATATAATGGGATACTATGTCATTATAATGAGATGGTAACTCAATATAATTAGATACTATCTCATTATAATGAGGTAGTAACTCAATATAAAGAGATAGTAACTCAATATAATTAGATACTATCTCATTATAATGAGGTAGT